TATATGCTGCTAAAACAATGAAATACAGTCACTGGACTCAAACTTTTGCCTCCTACTGCCAAAGTCTGAAAATCTGATTCATCGATTGCAGTTAAAAAATGTTGAAGTCAGTAAGCAGCTTGCCCACAATAAGCATCTTCGAGATCTTGATGAGTCAAAGTCTGTGGTTTCACTCTGGAAAAATGTAAAGAAGAACTTGGGCGACGATACAGTAGAGTAAATTTATACAAGGTATAATTCCATACATACTGATTCAGACAATTCTCAGTTACTTTGGGACCATTCCTGTTTCTTTCTTTCAAATTTAGTTGCAAATAATTTGATGATGATGCAGAAATACTTGTACAAGACAATACTGTGCAAGCTAGCCCTGTTCAAGCAGACCCTTTTGAAACAGATCCTTTTCTAGCCAGTCAAGTCCGAAATTATCCTTTTCAAGTTAGTCTTTTCAACATTAATGTGGTTCAAGCTGAGCATACCTTAGCTAATTCAAAGGAAGTAACTCTTGAAGCTAACCCAAAGGGAGATGACCTATTTCAGACTGATGCATTCCCGATTCGGTTTGCCCAAATTGATCATGAATAATCTGAAGATGAAGAAAAAAAGTATGTATACATCCGACTTTTTCTTCTCTTTTTATTTACATAAAAGAATTGCATGATGATTATGTTTCAGGTGTTACTGAACCACTGTTAATTGAAACAGAACCAGAGGCAGTATATATTGTGCAATCAGCCCAAAAGCCTATGCCTGAAGACCAATTCGATAGGTTAGATCTAGTGATTGACCGCTCCACCTTACTAAAGGACATGATAACAGCGTCATTCGGATCCAACCATATTAGAAGTTTTAAATTTTTCAAAGTTGTTGATGCGCGCGGTGTTATACAGGAAGGTGAGGGAAGGGGTATCGTTCGGGAAGTTCTAACTGAGTTTTGGCACCTTTCTATCAGTCTCTAACCGTCGAAGTATCTACCAAGGTCCCAGTAATCCGTCACGATTATTAAAGGCATCAGTGGAAAGCTATGGCCAAGATTTTATTGTATGGCTACTGTAAAGAAAGAGTGTATCCATATCCTATTCCACTGTCTTCAGCGTTTGTTGGTGCATTATTTTAATTTGTGTGCTTGTCTTCAATTTGCATGCGTTTTTATTCGTGTTATTTTAATAATACGCCAATTGAATTTGTTTGCGTGTATATGTATTGCACGGCTTTGCACGGCTCTCTGCACCGGCTCGGCGAAAACGTACTTGAGTGCGATATCAATGACATACAATCAAAAGTGGTTATTCATAACGGAAATAAGGAACCTCGTTAATAGGATCTCTAGATTTTTGTTTTGTAACAATTTACTATGAATTTTATTGACCATTGATTTTTTAATCGGACGTGGACGTAAAAAAGGTGTTGGTCATGAGGGTTTCAACTGTGAAAATGGGACTACCTAAAATTGTTGATTCAGAAAAGAGTCTAGAGTTTTAGTACATGAAATTTTACATGTTACGATTAATGCAATCATGCAAGGGACCGTAAAAAGCAACAAATTTATATCCAAAAGGAGCATGAACACAAAATGCAGTGCTTTGCTATTAATTAACTATAGTTCTTACATTCTATTTTTGCCACCACTGTTCAAAACAGAGTGTATAGCATTCAGGAACTACGCTGAAATTGGATCCCATTATTTTACATCAATGGCGCTGTAGGTGTATGTGTGTGTAGAGGGAGGTGTTATTATTTTTCTCGAATATCTAACAAGCGGGTGGTCATAGATTTTTCGGAGGGAACAGAACTCTTTATTTAGTTGTTGATGGAAATTTGCCAATCACCCCTTATCATATTAAATGGTCACATAAGACAATACGTGGAAGATAATTACTCGTTTTTGAAACTTTTTAGACTACTTCAAGTGAAACCTTCAACGCAGCGAAAACAGTAAGTTACAAGTTAAATTTGCGGAAAAACTGTTTGGCCAAAGAAACTATTCTTCTCATGTTTGGAACGAAAGTACAAAATTACTGAAATCCCTCCAGTGCTCCACCCGCGAAAAAGATAATTGTTCCGAAATTTATCGCGCAGAAACAAAACCGCAGAATGAAGAAAAATAGAAAGATTCAGAATTAGAAACTATCCCGTGAAACCAAGTAGCTGGATAACATTCTTTAATTTCTTTTATCGGTCCCTTTCATTAGCTTCATATCTAAAAGGTACTTTGTCACGACGAGCTCTGTTTTCTGCGCTCTAGATCTCGTACAAAAAACCACTCACAGAGTTGAAATAATTTTGGCAATGTGCGCAATTGTATAACGCACATGCCGATTTATTAATTTCTAATTAACAACAAATTAATCATTAATCAACAAACAATAAATTCAATTACTAAGTAGTTCGCACAGACAGGGTGGGCTAATTTAAACGCCCAACCGAATATACTAGTATGCAATGACATTAAGCTCGCGTGAGAAAACGGGAAGGAGGGCGGGTCAAATTCGCGGGTCGAATTCGATCTGTAGTGACCTTGTCGAAGCGAAGAACAGAATGGATTAAGAGCACATTCTGCTCTTGATATATGCAGACCCTCATCTCCGCTCTCCAGGGACATTACTCATGCGTCAAACTAAAATATTTAATCTACTTTAAGTCTCAAGTGCAGGAAGCAATAAATTCTTTATTTTATACCAATATTTCCTTTGTTGAGTACAGTAGCTTAATTGCAAAAGTTTGCGGAAGAATGATTTTCGCTATTAATTTATATAGATATCAGACGTAGTGAACAGTGAATAATATAAATTGTACCAACCAAACAACTATGAATTATTTTTACATAGCTACAGATACATAGCTATAGACATGAACTCTTTCGGGAGACGTAAAACGTTTCCCGAGCTAGAATAGTGAAGGGCAACGTTTTTTCGTTTTTACGGATAAAACCGAAATTTATTATTTTCGGGTCCGTTCAAAGTTTAAATTAATCTGAAAAATTCTAATGGCGAATGACAGTCGTCGAATACAACGATAATGAATTAGAATCGTTTCTTGCTGTCGCATATCGTCGCCACGAACTCTATTTTACGCAAGATATTAAGAAAACGTTTTGACTAAGACGTAAATTTGGGCAACGTCATCGTCGTCATGAGTAATCGCATTACATTCTAGCTCATACCAGGCGAAAAAATCTCACTCAAATAAGGACCATTTAAAGCATCGGTGGCATAAGGTCTTTCATCAATCTTATGCTTGATTAGCCAGGAGACAAACTTCCGAGCCTTGCGCTCACTAAGTTTCTTCAAATTCACAGGTTTCTCCCTCGCAATATTTCTCATTCGATCATCTGTACCGCCAAAAGGATGTTGACCTTTAGTTAAGATGAAGAAGAAAATCATACCCGCTACATAGACATCCGACTGTTTTTTGAAGGGACCTTTTTCTTCTCTTCTTCTCGCTTCAATTACTTCTGGAGGGACCCAGCCGATAGAACCATTCGCACCTGTTTCAACACCTGATTCTTCCTCCTTTAAAACGCGGCTTATTCCAAAGTCCGCCAATTTCATGCATCCTTCGATATCAACCAAGACGTTTGATGGTTTAAGATCTCTATGCAGAATCCTTTTGCATGGAGAAATTCAAGGCCGGATAGAATTTCCTTAATCATTCGTTGCCCATGTTGTTGAAGATGTTCAATACTGGAAGAATCAACAAGCTTTTCCAAGCTTTCTTACAGAGGTCAATAACGAGATACATGAAGTTTCCGTCGTTGTAAAAACCTCGATAGCTTACTACAAATGGAGATTTTTCTGTTTCAAGGAGACTCAGGATTTCCTTTTCGTTTTCAGCGGTTCTTTCGCACCTCTGCACTGGCATTCGCTTAACAGCGACTTCGCTTTCATCAGCCATAAGACCGACATAAACGCATGAACCACAGGAACCGTCGCCAATTTTAAATACCTTATCCGCAACAAATGCCCGTATCGGTACTGCACTCTGAAAAACAATAGATGAATATAGTTTTATTTTGAGCAAAGGAAAGAAAGAAGTTCTCCACATAAAATACGCAATGATCTATGGGCAATACAAACAAAATACGATTTTTCCAAAATTTTATGTTCCATAAATTTTATGTTCCATTGTTGGTATGTGAATGGAAGTTTAATTTTTGAACTAGACCGGAATTTTGCGACTTTGTTGAGAGAGATGCTTTTGCCAGTTGTTTACGCCTTTTGTAACGATAAGCGCTAAAATGGCAAAATCTTCGCCAAGGCAAAGAGATCGGCTATAAAACAAAACATATATATGAAGAGAGACAATATCTAAGGTAATAACTCGTATGTTTGGCAAACAGTGGTGACGAATGGCGCCTGAAATGGAATTTAATGAGAGAACATGTTTTATATTACCCGGTTCGGACAAGGCAACAAACACTGGCGTAGCCAGCATCGATAATTGGGGGGGGGTCCATATTCATATATTCATGTAAACAGACTGTAAAGACAATTGATTTGAAAAGAAATTAACCCTGCGTATCACGAATATATGAATATGGACCCCCCAATTATCGTTCTGGCTACGCCGTTGGCAACAAAGTAATCTATCTGTTGCTTTTGATGAAAGCTAATTATTAGGTATTAACAGAATCACTGCTATCGCCTCTTACTGTTTCCAGCTGGTTGCAATTCCTTGTTTTCAACGCCTGCAATTTTTCGTGATGTTTTACGGACATTTTCAGAAGTTTGGTCATTTCATTGCGACCAAAAAGAATACTCCACTGTAAAAGACTAATTAGAGTTCCTTCAACAAGAAATGTTCTGGGATTCCTCACAGGGATTTTCTTTTTTAATAAAATTTCAACTAAGTTGACTGAATTGTTAGCCATTTCAAGGTTCGTCACTCAGCTTTTTTTAGAGAATAAATTTTGAACTGTTACGTTAAACGCTTTAGAGTGACAAGTACGCTACTTGCAATAGCAGTGTGCAAAACTGTCTGCCCATGAATATTCCTAGCGTCTAAATCAGCACCATGTTCGAGAAATATTTTACAAGTTCAAGTTCACCTTTTTCAACAGCGATATGTAAAGCTGCCCTTTTATCACACGTATTGCTGTTGACATCAGCACTACGTTCGATTAAGTGTTTCACAATGTCAAGTGCGCCTCCATCAACAGCAGAGTGCAGAACTGACCACCCGTTAGTAGTTCGGTCATTTACACCAGCCCCTTTTTCGACCAAATAGTTTACGATGTCCAGCTTACCTCTTTCACTACCAGAGTGTAGGGCTGTCCACCCGTCATTATCTTTGCCATTCACATCAGCACCATTTTCAACTAAATATTTCACCATGTCAAGTTCACCTTTTTCAGCAGCAAAACGCAGAACTGTCTGTCCTTCAGGGTTTTTTTCTTCCTTACATCAGCGCCATGTTCACTAGGTATTTACGATGATTAGTACGCCTCTTTAGCAGCTGAATGCAGAATTGTCGTCCCATCAATACTCGTGCGATTAACATCAGCCCCGTGTTCTACCAAATATTTCACAGCCTCAAGGTGTACCTACTTCCGCAGCAGAGTGCAGCACTGTCCTTTTGTCAGTAGCCATGCCATTCACATCAGCACCATGCTGCACTAAATATTTTACAATTTCAGTTTCACCCTTGCGACAGCAAAGTGCAAAACTGTCTTCCTTTAGTAGCTATGCCATTCACGTTAGCACCATGTTCGACTAAATATTTTACAATATCAGGTCCACCCTTTCAACAGCAAAGTAAAGAATGTTTTACCGCGAGCAGACACGCCATTCACATCAGCACCTGTTCAACTAAATATTTTACAATATCTGGTTCAGCTCCATCAACAGCAGCGTGAAGAACTGTCCAACCCTCAGACGTCATGCATTCACATCAGCTCCGTGTTCCACGAAATATTTTAAAATGCCAATTTCACCTTTCTTAGCAGCAGTGTGCAAAACGGTCCAACCCTCACTAGTCTTGCTTTTTACATCAGAACCATGTTCAATTAAATATTTACAATGTCAAGTCGCCTTTTTCAGCAGCTGTGTTCAGAACAGTCCGTCCATCAGTAGTCTTGCATTAACATCAGCTCCATGTTCTACTAAATATCTTATATTGTCAAATCTACCTTTTCAGCAGCAACATGTAGAATGTCATCCCGTCACCATCACACTATTTACATATGCTCCACGTTCGACCAAAATTTTACAATCTTAGGTTCATCTTTTTCGGCAGCAAAGTGCAAAGCAGTCATCCCCTCAGAATTCTCCTCATGTACATTTGCACCACGTTCGATTAAATATTTCACAACATCAGGATCAACATTCAAATTAACAGCCGAGTGCAGAACTGTCCACCCAAAAGTACTCCGGCCTGTCACGTTTGCACCTTGTTCGACTAAATTTTACAACGTCAAGTCCACAACTGCTAGCAGCAGAGTGCAGTACTGACCACCTTTTACGAGTCTCTGTATTTACCGCAGCACCACGTTGCACTAAATATTTAACAGTCTCCGGTTCACCTACTTCAGCAGCAGAGTGTAGACTGTCTTGCCGTCGATGGTCACGCCATTCACATCAGCACCATGTTGACCAAATATTTACAATTTCAAGTTTACATCCTTCAGCAGCAGAGTGCAGAGCAGTTTTACCATCAATAGTCATGCCATTCACATCAGCACCATGTTCGACAAGGTATTTCACAATGTTAGGTTCACTTCCTTCGGCAGCAGAGTGAAGAATTGTCCGTTTCCCAGCAGTCCTGCTATTTACGTCAGCGCCATTTTCCACTAGAGATTTTAAGTGTCAAGTTCACCTCGTTTCACAGCAGAATTCAAAACTGTCCACCTTTCAGTGACTTCAGTAGTTTTGCTTTCAGCATTAGCAACAATTGGTAGCAGATCTGCCATCCTGTGATATTTCTTGGTGTTTGCAACAACCCAATCTTGAACTTGATTTTCTTAGCTACTTCTTTGTTTGTATCAAGACCTGTAATTAAGCATATTACTGATACATAAAGTGGTGACCAAAAGTCTGAGTCTAGTCGACAATTTTTCTTATATTACGATAATTTACAATAACGATATCGTGTGAGTTGATATGAACTTGCGCATTTTATAATAGTAATGCATCCTATATAGATTTCCGTTAATTCTCGTGGTATTTTAGTTGAATAAGAGATGCGGACCAAAGATAGCAAAAGAGGGCCAACAATGTTGGGATGTCTCGAAATATTGCGGGAAATGGAATGATAAACCAACTTACGATCTGGCAACAAGAAGGAAATAAATCACCACTGCTAAAAGGAGCATACCAAAATTAGTTTAATCGCCGCGTTTGGCGCAAAATGTCAGGTATTACGGAAAATATTTAGCCATGCGAATTTGTCAATTTTGTATACTTTTTTACTACTGCCGGAAGCGTTTAACTAATTTAGTTACACACTTCAGGCCGTAGTAAAAAATATACAAAATTGCCAACTTCGCATGGTTATATTTTCCCCCTTTACAATATTGTGCATCCAAACTTGGTAATTTTACTAAAATTAGAATGCACTTTTCAGAAATTTCCTTTTGTTGCCTAAAACAAAAGTTGGTCTATTATGCAAAAGGTCCATTGAGATGAGGTTATATGTGTCGAACGAAAAGTTGGAAACGTTTTATGAATCAGGTTTGTATTTAATTTAATGAAAATCTGCGAGACCAAGGGCTACTCCTACAAAGAAAATGGAAAGAAAGCAAAAGTAAAAATAGGTATGCAATGCATACATGTGGGTAGCCTCCAAAGCATTGGCAAAGATTTTCAAGTTTTGTTCAATGTCAAATGACAGGCCGCAATAATGGCGGGGAAATCAACTGCATGATGCGTAGTTTTACGTTCTAATCCATGCGCAAAGATGGGCTAGTTTGCTAGTTGGATACAGTTATAACAAAGTAGACATAAAAACAATCAATGAAATACCAATGAAATACCATTTCTGCGATTAATTTATCTGAAAGTTTAGGCCAGTTTACACCGATCAGGCTGACAAAATTTCGGCTCTGCCCAGTCTCTTTCGTAGATAAACAAACTCGGCGGACAAACATGCATCATCCCTCATCGTTTTTTGCGTGTAGCATAGTGGTTAGCCCGCGAACAGGGCTACCCACAATAACCAGTGGACCGTGCTTAATCAATGGTTTGAATCAGTAATGTTAACAAAACTGGTTCACTCTATCCAACAAAAGTGTAATCTGTTTTGAAACGCAGAAGAGGTCATACAAAAGATCAGAAAAGTGTCAATTTGTGTTATGTCCTACTTTCAACTCTATCCACCATTGATTAAGGACGGTCCACTGGTTTTTACTTCTACTTTCTTTCCATTTTCCTTTACAAGAGTAGCCCTTGGTCATGCACGCAGATTTTAATTTAATTGCATACAAACTGGATTCACAAAACGTTTCCAACTTTTCGTTCGACATATAAAACCTCATCTCATTTTCTCTCAATTTTTTGAAAAATCCAATCATTGTTGGCCCTCTCTATGCCATCTTTGGTCCACAAAAAGAATAATACGCATTTCTATTCAATTAAGCAGCATTTTAATTCTTAAACGATTGTTAATCAAATTACCTAAAGCCCAAGTGAAGTCTCAGGTATGGGTAAAGGCGGAAATCACGAAAAATAATAAAAATTAGTTTTTGTATGTATAATTTAATTTAAGGAGCGTAACAGCTTCGCAGGGTAAATTACAATAGGCTAAAACAGCTTGAGGATTATTGGACACTCGCAAACAATGTGCATTGTGCGCATGCATGGAACAAGCAAAACCTAAATAAATTTTTTTTGTGCGGGAATATAATTATTCTACAAAAAATATGTAATTAATTGAATCAACTGTGTTTATCGCTGGTCATGTTCGATTATTAACGGGTGCAAAGTCAAGAGTCGATTCAAGTATGCACAGCAATAACGAACTCCGTACGCAGATCACACATAAACAGTAACTTTAATACCAGTGAAATGATACAATGCTGATGCAATGGTGATTCTCGATAGGAATTGAGGTTCGGTAAATAGATTGTGGTATGTTTTTATGTGCCATTTTATAGCGTAACATGGTATGGTTGGGGGTATGCGATATCAATTAGCTAATGGGTTATGAGTTACGGGTTCGAAGTACACAATTTAGAAAGGGATCACACAGATTATAGAATGCGCGCAAATTACATAATCATGAATTCATACATGCATGAATAACACCTGATCTTGCAATACAGCAGAATAAATTTGGTTAGCGCACACCAACTTGAATAGAATAGAATTTAGTAAAGTTTGTTTAGCGTCCTCGCTCTGTTCGATCTAACAATTTACTGACACCTGAAGGCTTA